GCTTTTTCAAAATCGCCCACTTTTCAGTGGAACTTGAGCCCTATATTAGGGTTAGGGCTGTGCCCCAGGGTAGGGTTAGGGTTAGAAAAACGTGGTGTCCTGGCATGATTTCGACGTTTGGAATGTGTGTAGAATGGGCAGAAAGGATGAGCTGCGCAGAAAAAGCCACTCAAGGAAGGCTTTTTCAAAATCGCCCACTTTTCAGTAGAACTTTAGCCCTATATTAGGGTTAGGGCTGTGCCCCAGGGTAGGGTTAGGGTTAGAAAAACGAGGTGTCCTGGCATGAATTTGACAGTTGGAATGTGTTTAAAAGGGGCAGAAAGGATGAGCTGGGCAGGAAAAGCTACTCGAGGAAGGCTTTTTCAAAATCGCCCTATTTCCAATGGTATTTCAGCCCTCTATTAGGGTTGGGGGTGTGCACCAGGGTAGGGTAGGGTTGGCGTTTGAAAAAGGAGGCGTCCTGGCATGATTTTGATGATTGGAATGTGTTTAGAAGGGGCAGAAATGATGAGCCCCCCAGAACCTCCCTGATGGATACGTACGTGGCTTCCATTGTACACCCCGACTTGCACCAACTTGCTGTTCTGCAGGTTCATGACGCTGTAGTTGGCATATTTCCTGTCCCCGTCCTCGTTGAATTCGACCCGGCCAGTCACTCCCTCCCCGTACTTGGTCTGCATCAGCACCCTGTGTGGGTCGAGGCAAAGGCTCTGGACACAGCTGTCCCCACGGCGGGAGCCCCCCCCCCCCCGGCAAGTTCCAGCTGTTGCTTTTTCAAAGCCAGCTGCGGGGCAGAAGACCGGGGGCGCCTTGCAGGCAGGTGAGCTCTGGTTGGCAGGCGTGGGCTGCCTGGTGCCTGCGGGAGGGACCTACTGCTCGAGGTGTGGTCCCAAACCGGTGCCATCAAGTATTGCGGGGCAGAACCGGAGCCGGAGCTGCTCCTTCCCTCACTTCAGACTGCGCCCGAATTGGGCCTTGACCGGAGCACTGCAACCGCTCCCGGCCCTGTTCTTCCTCCCCTGTGGTCTCGCTCTTGCCCCAGATTCTTTTGCCCTCTGCTCATTCCCTCCTTCCTCTCCCCCTCGGATGCCTCCCTTTGGCCTTCCTTCCTCCTCATCCACTTCCTCCTGCCGTCCCCGCCGCCGCCTGCCCCCCTTGGCTCAGCAACCTGCCTCTTCCTCCTCCCCCTGGCACGCAGAGCCCGCTGACGTGGTTGCCCTCTGCAGCAGCCCTCGCGCCAGGAGTCCCGGGGCGAAGCCCGGGCAGGGCACAGAAGCGGCCGCCTCTGCCCCCTGAAGAGAGGTGCCCCAGCCTACCTCTTGAAGAGGGGCCCCGTCTTCCAGATGTTGGTGTTCCCCACGCATCCCCGGGGTGGGTCGGTGATGTTCTCCTTCTCGAACAGGTCGTGCACAGCCTGAGCCACGACAGCCACCGCGTCCCGGATGTGGGCAGACTCGTTCTTCCCGTTCATGAGCTGCAGCCCGATCAGCCCTGAAAGGAGGGGAGGGCGGGGCGTGAGCGAGGAGCCCCGCTCCGGGCCAGACCCAGGGCTCCCTCTGGGGCAGCACCCTGTCCCCCCAGCTGCTGCCTCCCTCCCTCAGGTGCTGGCCAGCCGGGTGGGGAGGCAGCGGGCAGAACGGATGCGGGAGCCGCCGGGAGGCTGCTGAGGCCTCTGAGCCTTGATGGAGCTCTCCTGGCCAGCGGCTGTCGGTCTGCAGCCGGCCGCCTCTTTCATTTCTCTTCTCTTTGGAGCCGCCTAGGCTGGCTGCCATCCCGATCTTGCACTCCCGAGCCACAGTCAGTTCCACGCCGCGCTACCAGGGGCAGTGCCGATGCCACTTCTGCGACCACGTCCCACCGCGTGCTCCTGGCTCGCCCTCCAGCTCCTCCGTGGGCATTTACTGGGTGCTGGGGGAGGAGGAGGAGGATGCAGGCCGGGGCCGGAGGGCCATCCCCAGCCTCAGCTGACTCGGACAGGGGGAGGCGGCTGCACGGCGCGAGACGTGGGCCGAGGCAGGCGGGTACCTTCAGGGGCGTTCCGCAAGGCGTTGCCCGAGATCTCCCTCTCCCCCACAAGCCACACGTAGCCCGGGCCGGTCATGTTTTCTTTCGCCGCTGCTGTGTACACCGTGGTGGCGTCATCCTCACTGGAAAAGAGGGACGAGGGCACTGAGCGGGGCTCCCCCCCCCCCGTGCCACTTGGCGGCCGGGGCCTGTCACTGAGCCCAGCAAACAGCCTGCCCCTCGGGGTCCGGGGGGGGCTGCAGCGCCACCATCGTGGGCCGCTTTCATCACAGGTCCGTCCTGAGACTTTCTGCAATGGGACTGGATAGAAAAGCTTGAAATAAATAGATAAACGGACAAGGAGTCGGTGGGGGGGAGACTGCGGGCTTTTTGCTCGAGGGACGTGATGGGACGGGACATGGACCTGCTGGGCAGGCAAATTATCTGATGAGCAGCAACCCACGCTATAGAGACCTCCTATCTTTCTTTCTTTCTCTGCTTTGCTTTTTTTCTTCTCTTCTCTTCTTTTCTCTTTCTTCTGCCATGACTCAAAGAGTAAAACATGAATGTTGATTGCCCTATTTTTACATTATTTCCTTGTCTGGATTCGGCTCACAGAAATACAAGGTTGTGGGCACTGCGAGGTGGGAGCAGCGGCTCAGCATCTTGTCTCCCTTGTGATACAATAAATTCTCCTTCTGCGAATTGGTAGGATGGGAGAGCCTGTAACCCGTTATTGGTGGAGATACAATGGAAAACGGTTAGGTGGGTTTTCATCCTTTGCCCAGTGACATGATCGCTGCCTTCCCACATTTCGTCCAGTCGGTGCAAAGATCCTGGACTGATCAACAGGTGTTTTGGACATCATATTTTAAGTTTTATTAGGAAGTATGGAATTGTATATTTAAAGTATCCAATCGGATAGATTAATTCTTAGTGCAATGGGCTTAGAACAGTTCAGCAAGACTGTATTTCTTTGGTAAATAATCTTGGAAGTGTTGTTTCAGGTGTTTAAGGCGCCTGAAGTGGCAGTCCTAAATTCGGCAGGGAGTAAGCCAGATTGAACACTGCGGGACTTACTTCTGAGCCAATAGGCACGTCTTCCTGGATTTTGAATTGGACTTTTTTGTGAGCCGCCCTGAGGCTTTGTTGAGATGGGGGCGGCATAGAAATGTTTTAAATAAGTAAATAAATAATACATAAATAAAATTCATTTAGCTGTACTTCGGTGAGTATATTTTGATCCAGGAAGACTTGGCCTGCCACATTTTCTTTCTTATTTTTATATTTATTTGCATGATACCACAGCATTTGACCCAAAATGGCACTCAGGGTGGCTTATAAAAGCAATTGAAAATAGATTACAATTGTAAATAACATTAATATACAGTAAAAACGAGGGGTAGACTGAAACGGAGATGCCACTGATGACCATTCTCTGCTGAAGCAAAAAGAAGGGGAACACTGCCTTGAAACAGGGCACAAATGTTAGGAACTTCAGGGTGAAAATAGCGGGGCAGGGGAAGTGCTGACCCTTGCCCTGAGCTGGCTCCCTGCCAGATTTGGCCTCCGTGGCACCAGGATGCCCTCCTGTGGCTGGGGACCACACCTGAAATTAATGCAGGAGGAAGATGCTGTGATTCGGGTCAATTTGCCAACTCTCCCCCTCGCCACGGATTACCTCCTGGTAGTGCCCGTTCAGCGCCAGAGCAGAGAGACGAGAGCAAAGAGGACCAAGGAAAGGGATGCGAAGGTCTGTGAGGACCAGGGGGCAGAGCCGGGGAGCCATGTTGGTCTGTACATCTCTGGACAGGGCAGAGCACCTGGCCCGCCGCTTACCTGGCCGAGAGGATAATCACGCGGGCCTCCAGCTCTTTTGCTTCCAACAGCAGCGACGTCACATTCTTGGTCCCGGGTTCAAACTGAAGCACCTTCTCAGCCTGCAATTGGTGTGGGCAAAGCAGGTCAGCGTGGCAGCCGGGCCTCTTTGGGTGAGAGCCATGCTTTCTAGGAAAGAAACTCCTGAACCCTTTCAAAGCACTGCTAGGTATGAAAAGGATGGGCAGCTAAGACGCTTCTCTTTTCTTTTCTCTTTTCGCCTTTCTTTTCTTTTTCTCTCACGGTTCTTTGCTCTCCCTCTCCTTTGATATTTATTTATTATCCTTTCTAACCTTTTAAAAATGTTTTGCACTGTGCATGCAAACTTAAGTCACTCAAGACCCAAAAGAGAGACGTGCATTTGTATAGGAGACAGGAAAAAGGCATATATAGATATAGATATATATATATAGACTTATTTTGCAATGCAATTGAAAACTCAAACCAGTGTTGTTTTTCAAAAACAAAAACAAAAAACCCCCCACGGGAACTGAAAAATTAAAAAAAATGCACACGGTTCACCTCCAAAAGGGGTGGGAGAATCAAAGTGAGCGTTTCACACCAAGGAACTGTTTTCTTTGGGGGGGGGGGGGGGGGACAGCAGGAAAGGGTTGGTTCAATTGTCCAAGAAAGAAAGAAAAAAAAACTTGCAAGTTAATTATTGCTTTACATGCATGTCTTCAAAAGAAATGTTTCCAGGGCTGGCTTGCTACTTTCCATTCTCAAGGTCAAACCAAACTTATCCCAACATAAAAGAGCGTGCTACCAAAAACATGGAGTTTGCTTGCTTGTTTGATATAGAGATTTTGCTTTTTTTTTTTTTGCGTTTATAAAATTAACATTTTTGGTGCCTGTGGCCAAGTTCATCATTTGCTAGTTAGGTTGGTGGGCGGCGTGCATTGTCCATGCAAATATACCTTCGGTCCTCGCTTGTTGTCATAGGATAGTTGTTCGAGGCTGTCATAGTTCCTTTTTTTACTCTGATGAATAATGTGCACAGAAAAAATATGTAGACACAGAAGAATATTATAAACAGTTGAAAAAAAATGACGTGTAGTAAAGCAATCCAATATCCAACTCCTCCTCCACCGCTTGCGAAAGGGGGACTCGATAACACTGGAGCGCGCAAAGCCCGTGTGGGGGGGGCTTCTCCTTGCGCTGGGACGGTGCTATTATGGGGTGACCGCAGTCGGGACTGCTCCCCCCCGGCTGGCTGCGTCTTCCTCTCCCTCTCCAGCTGCCCCGGCAGGCGCCCGGCACGGGGCAGGTAGTGCTGGGCCCGCAGCCCCAGCCGGCTGGCTGCAAGCCGGCTAGCTTCATTTGCTGCTCGGCAAGCACTTTTTCCAAGTGGCTACAAGCTCTCACTCGTGAAAAGGCCGCCTGTGCTCAGGCGGAGGTCGGGCAGGGAGGGCGTGTGAGCTGTCCTGCCAGGGCTTCCTTGTGCAAGGCACGGATTAAGACCCTTTGCTCCCAGAGGTTGGGGGGCTTCCCCTGGCGCTGCTGTTCTCCACAGCCTTTCCCCTGTTTTCCGGCCTTTTTACTGGGATATTTCAGGGTACGGAAAGTCTGACGTTAAAGCTTAAATCACAGCATAGCAGAACAAAAAGCTCCGGAGAAGTCGCAAATCCGTTTGTGATTCCTTAATAAATAGAGAGGCAGAAAAAGAAAAATCTTGGAAAGAAACCGCATGAGGGTTGCAGCTTCCCTCCCACGACAGGGAAGATGAATCCGCAGAAAGTGGTGGGCCACCATCCCCAGACAGGGGACTACTTCTAACTTTTAGAAAGGGGGGAGGGGAGGGGGCAGAGCAGCCTTTTTGGGGCAGATCAAAGGTAGTCCCGGTGTTCCTGAAACAGAGGGCAAGCAGAGCTGTCCAGAACACACTGAAAGAGAGCCCAATGGAAGCAGCGGGTCCTGGGCCCCTTCCCTGCCGCTGTGGCGTTCGGGGCGTCACTGCCCCGAATGTGGAGACTGCCCCATTAGTTAAGGCAGGTGTCTAACAGGTCTAGCTTAACCAAGTCTCCTCCTAGCCTCCCGTTGATGACTGTGCCTAATACCTGATTTTTGAAAAACCATCTGACTTCCACTCTAAAGTCCACAGCTGAGATTCTGTTTAGGGCCTCTTGTGACGCTGATTGCCAGACGATTCACCAGACCGTGCAGAGCACAGGCACAGAATCATAGAGGCGTAGAGCTGGATGGGGCCCAGGCGGCCACAGGGGCCGTCCCACTGCTCAGAGGCAGACCTCACGGGGAAATGGGGGTCTGCCCTAGAAGGAGTACGGCTGTGATCTGAAATGCATTCAGCTCCACGGAGTTTGAGAGACAGGATTCTGTGATTCCATGACCTGCAGGCTCAGGCTCACGCTGACAATAATGTCAAACACAAATGAGCGAGATGTTGCATCTCTGCATGAGTCACTGTTCTGGCCTGTTTCCTTCCATCCAATCAGCCTCCACTAGAGACTGGGCATCCTTTCCTTCCATAGGAGTGCATAATCGAGTCATTTTCGAGGCAAGAAAGGGGACAGAAGGAGCTGTGCCTACGCGATGCCTCTTTGGATGACTCTGTGCTCTGTGCTTTGTTCCTTGTAGTCTGGAAGATTGGCAACGCTTGCAGAAACCGCTGTGGCTCTGCATGTCTGAAGAAAAGCCATTTTTTACTTAAGCCTATTCTGAAAGGTAGGACCTTTCTGGAGTAAGAGCAAACTGTCTCTCCCTTGTCCCTGCTTTAATTACAAGGGAACGGGCCTTCCTCAGCTCTTAGACGTTTTGGGAAGTGGCCGTTCTGCTAAAAAAGCCCCCTGCAGCCAGGGGGACGTGCTTCTTAGTCAGCAAGCTCAGAGCCGAGAACAGAAAGCGGAACGCGGCTGGAAGCATGGGAGGCCCCGGCTTTCCGTTCCAAGCAAGGCCGTGCACCACGTGTGTTTGGGACCCTCGCAAAGAGCCTGGCAGGGCGTGTGTTTGGTTCTTCAGGGTGCCTTCAGAGAAGCCACGGTGGACGGGGTGCACGGCAGGCTGTCGGGGGGGGGGGGGGGGGGGGGGCTCCAGCACTGGCTGTCGGGGGCCCTCCTGCCGCAGTTCCCCCCGTTCCCGATCAGGGCTTCCTTGTTAAAGGACAAGGCGGAAGTGGCAAGAAAACATTTCTAGGCGCAAGCGGAAGGCTCCGTCGCCTGCACCGCTGGCAGACTGTCGTGAACACGCGAGGTGGAAGCCTTGGCTGGAAGCGCCTTGGGAGGAGCTCTGCTCGAAATCGGGGCGCTTCTGAGCTGAGTACCCATTTGCTTATTTTTAAGGCTGTTCTGGTGTGTGTCTGCAACAGGGTACGGAAAACATGAAATGTGTTTTTTCTATATGTAAGAGTAGGTGGTGGCCTCAGTGTTGAGGCTGTATGTAAATTTAATTAGCTCAAGAGTTAATGTCTTAAAAGATACACTCCAGCAGCTTCTGCTGTCAGAACAGCCCTGTCTGTCTCTGTCTGTCTGTCTGTCTGTCTGTCCCCTCCTTCCTGCATGTCATGAGCAGAGCTGGCTGGAGCTGGGGGTCAGACTAGATGGCCCAGGAGGTCCCTTCGGACTCGCTCTGTTTCTATGTCTCACTGTCCCACTTTTGCACTCCTTTCTCACCTTTGCCAAATTAGGGCCGAATCAGTGCAGTGCGGTGCTTTGGGCTCAGCTCCACAGAGCTCCGTTTCTGCACAGAGAATGAGGGGGACCTGCTTTCACCTGGGTCCAGCCAGCTGTTTCACGCCTCCTGCTGCGGCTGAGGAGCATTCGGAAGCGCTGGCAGGACCACGGGGCCACCTCGCTGCTTTGGTCTCTCTTTAACCATGAGCCTCGCCACTGCCTGGGCTTCCAGTCCATGGCGGACAGGAGCCTTTGCGTCTCTGGGAGGAGACCTCGGACAGCGGTTCTCCCTGTGAGAACGGGCCGGCCTTTCGGTCTCCCCCGCTCCCGCTGCCCGCTGTGAGCCTGGGTTCTCGGCAGTCTGCACGGTGATGCCCTCTGGCTCTGGAGGGGCAAGAGGGGCAAGCAGGGCCCCCCAGAAGTCTGCAGGCCAAGGAAAGGAGAGCTGGAAGAGGGGCCCGTGGCTTCAATGAGTGGACAGGAGGGGCGAAATGTTGGCCTCTCTAAGAGCGGTGTTACTCGCAGTGGCCTGTGGACCATCTCACTCACGGCCTTCCGCAGAGTTCGCTGCTTGGGCCAGCCACAGGCCGGTTCTGCTCGGCCGGAACCTGTGCCACCTGTCTGGGTGGGAGCTGTGTGAGCACCACAGGCCCCGTCGGGCCAGTGGGTCCGTTCAGCGCTGGCCTGTGCTGGCCTCGCGAAGGCGGACGCACCTGCGACAAGCGCCCGGGCCGGCTTGTGGCGGCTTCTTTCCTCCCTGTCCACAAAGACGGGCAGAAGGTTGATGCGTCCTGGCGTGGGGCAGGTGAAGGCCGCATGTGTGAACACACGTTAAGGGCAGAACCTCCACTCCTATGGGAAGCGGGCTAGGGACAAATTCCAGGTAAGCGCTCGCCTGCTATTTTCTGTGTGTGGGGAGGGCTTTTTTATCTGCTGGGGTGCACATAACCTGCAACTCCCCCCCCCCCAACTCTGCTGTCGAAAGAGTAATGTACAGGGAGAGCTAGAGCGTGTGATTCCTCTGTGCGTGTAAAGCTGCTCCGATTCACTGCCCAACGGATCTGAGTCTGAAGAACAGTGTGTGGCAGCAGTGGACATGCATGTCCCCAGAAGACCAGGAGAGCTTGGCCCCTCCAAGCTGCAATTCACCATCTTCAGGGCTCGAAAGGAGCCCCACCGCCTCAAAAACCAGCAACGAAATGCCACGAAAGGAGGCACAGCATCTCGTCTGCGCTTTGCCCCGGGAGCAGGGCGTGGAGGGAGTATCCTCCTCAGCTTGGTCGGACTTCTTTTCTGGAATGGATGTGGGAGAGGGATTCTCTGTGTGGCCACCATGAAGGCAGGAGGAGCCCCCTGCCTAGAGGGCACCCGAGGGGGCGAACCTGCCGGAGCCCCGAACAGGACTGCGAAGACTGGCGGGGCAGGTAGGGAGCAGGCGAGGCAGCTGCAGGCCGGGGCCTTGATCTGGCCGTCGCTTGAGCCGCCACAGCCAAGAGCCAGCGTGGAGCAGTGGCCTGGGACTGCCAAGGCCAGACTCAAGCCCCCGCTCACTGGCTCTCGGCCCAACCCACCTCCTGGGGGTCTTCTATGGGAAGAGGAGAGAGGGGCACCGTCTGTGCCCCCTGCAGCCCCATCCAAGAGGGGAAAGGCCGGAGATAACCAGCCGATCGATCGATCGATCAGGCAGGGAAATATATCCTGGTGCGTCTGCTTGCAGGCACTATTCTGCGCCCCCGGGGGTGGCGAGGGGGCAGCCTCTGGCCTCTGCGGTTTCACCAGGCACTTCCCACACATGTCCAAGCTGCCAGAATGGGCACGCAGGAGTCCCGGAGGGGCGACTGGGGCGGGGGGTGCCAGCCCTCCCTCTGCTCTCCAGCCCAGTGGCTTGCATGCCAGAGAAGGTTCCTGTCCGGGGGGGGGGGGGAGGCAGGGGGGCAGGATTTGCAGAGCTCCAGGTTATGCTTCTCCTCATTTCACAGTTGTTGCTGCTGGTGTTTGTTTGTTTGTTTTTAATGTAGGAGATTTCTGACCATGGTAAAGCAAGTGAAATGAATAAGAGTACAAACTTTTGTCAGGTACTACTCAAGAGACACTGTTGATGCTTAAAGCGTAATGTTAGTCATGTTAACAATGGGAAGAAAGAAGGGTGTTTTACATACAGAAATCTACATACATACAACAGGCCTGAGACTTTAAAGATTTTGCGGTATCAACAACATGGGACACGGCGGGACGTGTGAGGCACTGACCTTGGACTCCTTCTCCTCTAGGAGGGTCTCCAGCTTCTTCTGGGCGGCTCTTCCCTCATGGTCATCGCTGACAATGAGGATGATGTGGTTCCACTTGTAAAAGCGCATCATCTCGAACCAGACGTTGGACTGGTGGGAGTAAGGGGGCACGGTGCGCAGGAAGGACAGGTGGATGCTCTGGGGAAGAAGCCGGAGCCGAAGGCATGAGGAGGCGCCTCTCTGAGCGCACGCTGTGTCCCCCCCCCCCCCCCCCCCCCCCCGCGGGGGGGCGGGGGGGCCCCCCCCGGGCAAACCCCGGGGGGAAAAGGGGCGGGGGGCCGGGGGGGGGGGGGGGGGGGGCGGGCGCTGAGCATCCTGCGGAGAGCTGCAGCAGGGAAATGCCGGGCCCGTGCTTCTGGGAGGCCCCCCATTTGTGAATTCTGCCTTGGGGTCCTGCGTCTCCTACCTCCTGTCGATTGATTGATTGATTGATTGATTGATTTAAAATATTTACATGCCGTCCTAATTCGCAAAAAGCCTCAGGACGGCTTACAACATAAAATAAGATATAACATAAATAAAATCCCTGGCCCACACTGGCTGCAATTAAAAACATAGAAAAAAAATTAAAACTTATTAAAATGTCGCTGGAATAAAAAGGTCTTAGCCTGGCACCGAAAAGCAAATAACGACGGCGCCAGGCGGACCTCTCTGGGGAGCGCATTCCATAGATGGGGCGCCACCGCAGAGAAGGCCCTCCTCCGGGTGCTCACCCTCCTAATGTCTTTCACGGAGGGTTCCTGGAGGAGGGCCTCTGCGGCCGATCTCAAGGGGACCTACTTTCTGTCTACTTTCTCTCCGTTTCAGGGTGGCCCTCCCTTTGCTGCTCCAGCAGCCGCTACATCTCGTCTCCTTTCAACGATTCCACCCACTCTCTTTCCTTTCTAGGTGACGCTGGCCTGCATTTTTACACCAGGCATCCAATCACTCCAGATGAGAGCGAAGTCTTTGTGCCAACAACCATGCTAGAACCGTGGTGTGCAAGCCTATGAGTTCTCCAGCATTCTTAAGGAGAAAAGTCAAGAAACTTGGGCCCCAGATAGTTTTCCCTTCGATCCTTCCAGTTCTTGAAGAGGAACAGAAAGAAAAAGAAAATGCTCCAATCGAATGCCTGGCTGCGAAGGTGGTGCCAACATGAAAGATTTGGACTCTGGGACTGCAGGCAGCACCTCCTGGCGAGGGATGGGCTGCCCCCTCCAAGAACCGGAAAGAAGGTGCTTGGTTACAGCACGAAGAGGTTGATAAGGGGAAGGAGAAGCACGACGTTAGCAAGCATAATGCAAGAAGTGAGTTACCTTATCTGAATAGATGGACATGCGCGTTGTCAGCCCAATGACAGGGATCCTATAGAATCCAGCCGTGTAGGACACTGGCGTTGGCGTCAGGTGGTCGTTTGGAGCTGGTGGGTGGCTTACTAAGATGGCATAGACCTGCAGGGCAGAGCAAACCGGTCCTGAAAGAGGCAGATGGGTTGCCCGCACTGGGAGCCAAGGGCTGCTGGAGGAGTGAGGAGATGGACTAGGAGCGCTTCGGGGAGAATTCTGTGTTGTGGGAGGGGCAGGAACCAGCTGGGCAGAAGCCTGTGGGGGCGGCACACCTCGGCGGGATCCTGCGCTGCCCCGTTCCTGCTCCTGCTTCCAGGGGAGGCGTCTGCAATCCGTTGCCTTTGTGGGTGCCAGGCTGGGGACATGCCACTGGCAAGCAAGACTGAGAAAAGGGGGCAGTCATCTGCAGTCCTCAAGAGCTTCCCCAAAACCAAATCAAGACCTCAGGCAGCAAAGAATTTCAATCCCCTGGTGCTATTTATTTTTGTTCATTGTGTTTGACTGAGAAATGCAAGGGAGTGTACCTAGTGCTTCTTCCCATTTTATCCACACAGCAACCCTGTGAGGTAGGCTTGGCTGACAGTTCCTGACTGGCCCAAAGCCCCCCTGTGAGTGGCATGGCTGGAACCTGGATTTCCGGAGGCCTAGCCCAGCCCTCTAGTCACTGCCGCTACTGCTCTAGTCCGGGCTTTGGATCACACTGACTTATCTGTTTGGCACTGATGGAGAATCACTCCTTATGCCTCTGAAATGATTTTGCTGATTAAGCTGCCTCAACTGCCTAGCGAGACCCCCAGCAGGCATCACAGGGCCATGTATATTCTGTGATCTTTCAAGCACAGGAAAGCTACAGAATATGGCGCTGGTTGCGGAATTCAGCTCAGCTTTCCTTTATCCACTCTTGGCCTTAAGAAGGTGGAGAACTTCTTGGAAATTCATGTGTGATGCCAGCCGAAGTCACAGAGGCTGGACTGGGGAAGGGAAAAGCCAGGCCCTGGTTTGCTTCTGGCAAGCAAAAGCGGAATGGCACAAAATCAGCATCCTGCCAAATGTGCATGATTTGTGCACCAGTCACATAACTGAACAATTCTTGGGGCAAAATTTGGATTCGGTCATTTTTTAACATGGAATACACACAATTTTGATCTTTCTGGGATTTCTCCTGCCTGTGACAAGCTGGGTAAACCTTTCCTGGCATTTGCAGGGTCATCAAAAATGTTTGCTGAGTGGGCAGGCTAGATAATGTGATTTATTTAACTGCACGTTTAATGCGCTGGTGTAATTTTCCTCTAAGGACTGCTTCAGATGAAAGCGTCTGTTGAGACTGCAGGAAAGGGCAGGGGGGGGGGGGGGGGGTCACAAGTGCTGGCAGTTCATGGGAATGCAAACATGTTGCCTGGACTCCCTTTGCCTCCTGGAGGAATCCGTACCAGGGGGCAGGCTGACAGGTTCTGCCTCCTCTTCTGGGGACCCCGTGGAAGGCTTGGCCACACCCCAGCCCCGTTTAAATCCGTGGGACCCAAGGAGGCCGTAATACAGAATGAGCAAGAGGATGCACCTCCCCCCTCCCCGCCTAATTTGTGCAAGCGCCATCAGGCATTCCCATAGGCCAGACACACGTAAATTCAGTCTGGAAGCACCCGCAGACTTACGGACTATTGCTATTTGCAGTGGTTTTAGCTGGGATGTCACCAGTCCTCGGATACGTGATGGTCGTAGAAATGACTCGGACCATCACAAGTCCCAGGGTGGGCATGGCCTCCAGCTTTTCAAGCCAGATGTGACCTTCCCTGTCTTTGCGACCCAAGAGCCTTTCAACTGAAAGCATCACGGCTTGACCCGGAAGTCCCGTTGATCGGGGCGGCCACCGAGGAGGGCGGTCAAGGAGAGGCCGGGCCGGCCCACGGAAGGCATGTCTGCGCGGAGCCGGCTGGAGCCGGGGGTCAGGCTAGATGGCCCGGGGGACCCTCCTGACTCGCCCGGCTTCTGTTTCTAACGGCAGGGGGCTCGGCGAGCAGCGGCCGCGGGCCGGAGGCGTTTCAGCACCGGGGACAGCGCCGCGGGTCCCGCCGGGGCGTTGGCGCCAGGTCAGGACAGCGGAGAGCGCTCCGCACCCGGCCCGCTAATCTGGCCGTGCAAGAACTCGCTGTAGCTTGGCTTGCTTGCAACTCTTCTGTGTGGCGTACCCGATCTAGCAGCAGAGTTTAGTCGGTCAAGAATTAAAATGTATTCACTGAGTGTTTTAATAATTAGAATTTTAATAGCAAATCAAATTATGCATTGGAACACAGAGGTTCTCACCAACCTGGTTCCTTCCTTCCAGATTTTTGGACTATAAAGCACAGCCTTCTTGACCATTGGCCAGGCTGCCTGAGGCGATGGGAACTGCAGTCCAAAAATACCTGGAGGACACCAGGTTGGTGAACGCTGCTCTAAAGCAGCAAAATGGCCTCAGATCTCTGAAGCGTACAGACAGACGCGCATTCCTCCCAGAATTTCAGTTCCTTCGATGCTCCTTAAATGCACACGGCTTCACTATTTCAGGAAACATGGAGTGGGCGCCTCGGCACAACCTCTCTTCGGGCGCCCCCAGCCCCTGCCGCTTCTTATCCTGTGACCTCTGCCTTGGCTTTGTCTTTCCTCGCAGAGCTGCCTTGGAGGCTTTGCCTCTTCGGGGCCATGAAAGTAAGGCGTCGGGTGCCTTAAGGGGCAACATGGCACTGTCCTGATGGGGGGACGGGCGACGGGTGACACTGCAGCCTTTTATTTTTTAAAAGAGGGGTACTTGAGCTGAGAGAGGCCTCTGGCTTTGGCTCCCATTCGGTTTCAGGGCATCTGACTGGCTCGGAAGGCCTTCCCCGGCTGCCTGCGCCCACCACCCGCCTGCTCCTCGAGATGCAATCGGCGCGCTCTGATGTGAAGCGGAAAAGGCTGCAATGCAGATTCAGGCTGCCAAAGAGGGGAGGGGAAAGAAGCGGGGAGGGGAGGGAGGGGAGTGGCATGGGGGTGGTGCCAGAGTGCAAGACCACCTGGGCATCCATGCCCCCACCCCCAAACGCGTGAATGGTGGGGGCTGGAGCAGCTCCTTTCTGGGTGGCTGCCTTCCCTGCAGTTCTGAGAAGGCAGAAGCAGGCTACAGAGGAAAGCGGGAAGATTCACCTTCCGTGAAAAAGCCTGACCTTTCGCAATAAGATCCAGCCCGTCCGTTTGCAGGCACATATACCTGGAGATCAATGAAGACACCTTGCGTGTTTTGACTTCGAGCCTGATTCCCACACCCTCCACGCTTTTCTGTGCTTGAAGCAAAGCCTTTAACATTTGGTCCATGGCACAAAACGGGCTTAGTGGCCTACCCCCGCTCTCGCTTTTCTCGCCTTCCCGCAGAATGGAGGCTCGTCATCTTTGCAAATGCCCCCCCCCCCCCGTGCACATGGGTTGGTGACGTGTACACGTGACGGCCACTGGTGCTTCAGTGGTACTTCGGTGAGTGTGTGTGTGCGTGCTCAGGAGTGCGAGGATGCATGCCCTGCCATGGGCCTTCCTGGGGTGGGCTGCTCGTGTGACCGCAGCTGGGCGAGGGAATTTTCCAGAGGCTTTAGACCAGCTCCAGGCGGAGGATTTTCTGGATGGCAGCTCAGCTCTTGAGGCTGCCTCAAGATCTCGAGGGAGAGAAACACAGGGGCCCTGCGGGCCTGTGCGAGTGCCGAATCCGGTGTACCTTTGCCTGCCTCAGTGCCCTGCTTTGCTCTGGAGCGGTTTTCCATGAGGCCGTGCAGGACCTCAGGGCCACGGCGCACGGCTTCCCCACACGAAGACACCCAGGCAAGAACCGCCCGCTGCCCGCCAGAAGGCGCTTTCGCAGGCTCACTTGCTGTGCCAGGATTCGGCCCGGATTAGCTCCCCCTCCACAGCCCCCCCCATGCCCTTTCCTCTCGCCATCCCCGCTCCTTATCAGCGTGTCATGGTGCAGATAGAGGCAAGAGGACTCGTCTTTAGTTGGGCGGAGAAAGGGGGCAAAGCACGCCAGAGGGTGTGAAAAATGGCCCACGCGGGGGGCTGGGGTGCAAACGAGCCTCACCCCCCGGAGAGGCACAGGGGCTGCAGGCACGCGCGTGTGGCTGGCGAGGCCGCAAGGGGCATGCTTGTCGCGGGGGTGGGGCTGAGCCGCCCCCCCTTGCTGTGCCCCCCCCCCCGCCAATCTCTTGACCCACAGGCTACGAGAGGATGGCGGGGCGAGCCTGGAGCTCTGGCCGGAGGTCGGCGGCAAGCCTGCCGCAGGATCGGTGCGCCGCGAGTGGGAAGAGGCAGAAGGAGCGCCCGCGCGGGTGCGGAGGCTGCGGCTGGCCTCTCGGGGAGGGCGCTCGGGTGGTCCGGCCAGGGAGAGGAGCCCTGACCGGGAAGGGGCAGCGCGCGCTGGGATGCCCGGAGCGTCCCCCAGAGAAGCGAGCGCGGCAGGGGCGGAGGGAGCGAGGCCGAGGGAGAGACACCTGCCCCGCGGGGCGGGGAGCGGTCCCGAGTGGGTGGACGTCCCGGCGGGGAGGGGAGGGGAGGGGAGGGAGAGGCGCGCGCGCCCGCGCCGGACGCGGGAAGGGCGCCTGGCGGGGGGGCCCGTCCCGCGCGCCTACCTGGCTGGAGATGAGGTCCTCGCAGACGGACAGAGCCATCTGGATGGCGTTGGGCTTGTGCGTGACGGAGGTGGCGTTGAGCTGGATCTTCCAGGTGCCGTGGCGCTTGTTGGCCTGGTTGATGGCCTCGCGGAAGACCTGCTCGTGCTTCTTGGTGCTCAGCACGGCGCCGATGTTGACGATCTTGGGCTCGCAGCCGGCGCGGGCGAACGAGAAGGACACGAGCACGGCGAGCAGCAGCAGCCGCATGGCGCTCATCGGGCGGCGACGCCTCGGGCCGCCCCGCCGCCCCGCTCGGGCATCCCCCGCGCCCGGCGCTGTCCGCGGTGCTGACGGCCGCGCGCCGCCGGCCAGCCGCGCAGCCCGCCCG